TAGAAATTTGGTTTTAAAGGTGACGGGTTTTTAGGATGAGGGATTCAAGGTTTTTGGGCTGGGGGCTAAGAGTGTTAAGATTTTAGAGTTCAAGGTTTTAAGGTTGTAGGGTTAGGGGGCCACATAGCTTTTGCCTCTGGGTGGTTAGTGATACCTGGGGTGTATGCCAAGGTGGTGCAAGATCTTGTCCACGCGTAGAAGGGATTGCCGTTGGGTATTATGGTTTGAAGTATAGTATAGGGATTCAGGGATTTAAAAACAGGTGGCTTTATTGGATCAGAGTTCCATGGGTTACCACGCTACCGCCCTACATGCTAAGCCTGCTAAGCCTTGATTTGCCCTAATTGCACCCAAGTAGCCTTCATTCAGGGTGGAACTGAGAGTAGCATTTGAACCCATGAAGGGTTCCCGAGTTAAGAAGTTCCTCCCAAGCTCCCCTCAGAGTGGTTTTAGGGTTTGGGGGTAAGCAGCCTAACCCCCCTACCCTGAATTCTACACCATCAGGACTCCGATCCCTAAACTGCGAACCTTACCTAAATCCCAAGCCCTAGATCCGAAAGCCCAGGCCCCAATCTAAGCCCTAAACCCCTAAACTCCAAACCCCTAAACCCCTAAACCCTCCTTATTACTTGGTGAGCCCTAGCCCTAACGCCCCGCCTTGCTGAGGCTTGCAAAGTACCACCGCCGGGTGGACCAGCAGTCTACAACTCAGAGCTTCCCGGGCTTCGGGTGTAATGTAGACCCATGATTAATTTTAGGGTTTAGGGTTTACCCTCTCTCTCTAAGGGCCTTTGTGTTAGGATCCCTATGTTTATGCATCACGAGTCTGGGCGTAGGCTTTTTGGTCTAAGGCTTAGGTTTTAGGGGTTTAGGGGTCAAAACCGGAGTCCACCTATATGTCTCCTTCCTTGGGATCCCAGGCGCAAGGGTCTGAAAATTTGACCAGTGCAGGATCGGGAACGGCCAGGTGAAACTCTCAAAGCTTGACTCTTCCATGTTGCAGACCACTGTTTGGAGACGGGATCCGAGGTGTGGGTGTAAGGCTCAGGAGCCCTAGATTCCAAATTTGCAGCTTCTATGCGGACTCCTCAATGATCGTTTGCGGTCCAGGTACCCCAGCCGGACTGCACACTCTTGACCAGGCTTCTTTCAGTTGCTGGGCCTAGCATGCCTCGTCAACTGGCCGGTGACACAAAAAGTTCAAAAGGTGGACAGAGGTCCGATAGGGTCTTTTTCAAAGTCCAAGGTCCAAGCCCAAGCATAAAGCCTCACACCTGGAAACCTAAGTCCCCACCTGGACGCCAAGCGTATGTAGACTTAAGGCCTTTTAGGCTATGTTGTATTTTTAGGGGCTTGAAGGCCATCACTTTACCTACGTTTTGGGGTCCCGGTACGTGTCTAAGGAAGTTTCATGTGGGTAGTTTCCCCTCATATCATGCCTTACATAGTCCCAGTGCCTCCCTACAAGCGTAGTATAAGCCTTATGCAAGGGTACCTGCCTGGTAACTACCCACCTCAAAACTCTCTAAACCCTAAACCTTCAAAACTAAATCCTAAACCCTGAACCCTAGGCCCTGCAAACTCCATTCTGCAGAGCCGGAACCCTCCGTCCACCATGGGCCTAGGACTGAGATACGGGCAGAGCGCGAGGCAGGCTTAGCGTTTAGCTTCTTGGAGTTTAAGGGTTGTAGGGTTTAGGCCTTTGGGCTGCTAGCTTTTGTAATCTCTTCATACGAGTAACTATTCAGCCTCCCAACCTCTAACATTAGATATGTCCCTGAGTACATGAAGCCTACTTGTAGCTGAAAGTTTAGCCCACGTCTTAGCCCCCTCAATCCCCCAGCGTGGCTATCATACAAGTATACTTCGGTTAGAAATACACTGAGCCTCCAAGTAAGTCAAGTGCATGGAAGGGCAGGGTGCATTGCAGCGATTGATATGGGGTCTTCTGCAAATGAGCATGTCTTGTGGACGCCCGGGATATCGTATGAGTCTGGGGAGGCTAGAGGTGTGACCCTTCAGAAATCTATGAGCGTAAGTTCCTCAAATCGTCGTCTCTGAGCCTCGCCCGTCGTTTATAAATTCCTCTGCTAGCCTGAGCTCCCAGCTGTGATCAGCCATCCCAAGCCTGAATGAGCAGAAGCCTCTTTTTTCTGGAGCTACACGACGTTAGAGCTTGCACTCTGGTTGAGTAGTGGTCGTTCTTTGGACAGATCCCGGCCCGTGCTACATTCTTTTGTGAGTAGTTTTCTATGGAAACATTGTGCGCGATCGTGTCCTCTTCTTTTTGCGTCTAGTATTTTACAAGAAGAGTCTAGCCGCATGTGGCTTTAGGTACCTGAAGCATTGTTTACGCGGTTTCGAAGCCAAGCAGCTTCGCAAGCAGTTGTTCGAAGCCAACAGCGACAGGCAGAGCTGATGCAGAACTTGCACTTCCTGAGTGTCCCAGAGCCGTGCTCTAAGTGAGGAGACGGGTGCGGTTGAGAGTTTGGGGGTCCATCCTAACTCCCAAGCCCTTTTGAGGTAGTTGTCCTAAGAGTTTCTCTATGGTGCAGGGGGCATCCTTTAATTGTGATATATACATATATGCATACATACGTATATACACATATTTAGCATGTCTGAATCATTGACCGTCTCTATGCCTCCAACAACATCATGTCTCGTCATACCCAGCCCAAATGAGGCTACGGCTCCAGCCACCCAAATTCCCTTGCCTCCTGTTTTTTGCCTACGGGGTTTGGGTGCTTGTTTGGGAGAGTATTGCCTTTTTTGCAAGGTTCTTGTCGATCCCGTAGATGCTGGAGGTATATTCTGTAAACCATCCCCACCTGTATTTGCCCTCAGCCGTAATTTAGGAGCTCCAAATTACCAAGCACAAGCCCTCAAACCTGCCAACAACTTTTTTGGATTGGTTAAATATGTTTCTGGATCTCCATGCCACCAACAAGTGAAAACCATGCCCTCGCATGCAAGTGCAGCACAGGTTCGGTTATGGGAAGAGGGAACTCCTCCCACCTTCAACCCCCAAATCTCAACTCGCAGCCCAATACCCTGCACTTTGCACCGTGAAGCCTAGACTCTCAACTTGGTACCTTACTGATGCTTCCCTATAATATTTCCTTATGACAGTACTGTACCTATACTCACTCCCTCATCCCCCCTATGCAAAAGGACGTAAGCCAGAAACCCACCGGATATCCAAGGCTTGAGCTTCAATCGCTCCGCAAGGAGCTGCAGCAAGCTGCCCAGGCTTGGACTGTTACAGCCTGCGTTGGAGGCCTGAGCCATAACTACGATAATTTCTTTCAGGTATTGTGCCACTCCCTCTTATGTTCTCGTACATGCTAGCACTATTTGAGTTCCTTTGGCTCCCATGTGGGCCGCGAAGCCCTTGGGGCTGCACGGATTCGCCAGAGGTGACAGGGAAACAGCTTGAATCGTAAACTCAATCAATGTTGCACAAAAAGATATGACCTTACGCCCTATAACCCCCAAGAATCATCATGGAGCACAGAAACAGGCTCCACAAAGAAAGACATGCGTTCAATAGGCGGCGTTCTGGGGTTTCATGCTTGTTTTTTTTTGGAAGCCTTGAATCCTATACGCCCGAACTCCCCCCAAACCCTCACAACGCAGTGTAGATCCCAATACGATGCAACCGCTCTGATTGCCAGCTGCCGCCGAATCCGACGGGGCTGCTTCTTGTTGGAGGCTGGGCAGCACGTCGGGTTCTAAAACCTTCGACCGTTTCCGTTCATGGACAGTCGAGAAAAGCAAATAATCCTAAGAATGTGTGTAGTTGTCTTTGTCTGAGATGTTTGATGGCTCAGCAAGAGCTGTGGGGACATTGCAAACAAGGAGAATGCGTGCACCATTCATCTCATTTGCATGTTCCAGGATCACTGTTGCGACGAGAGTTCGCTGGGTCATGGTTGGACATCTTTTCAGGTTCTTACAACATTTAAAACTTCACTATGAATATGAAACTATGATTTCAGCCATTTCTCAATAAGGAACCGGCTCCAGGGTCAGCACTCAGTCCAAAACTACATGAAACAGTTTAGCTCGGAACCTGAGGCACTGCAGAAGCACATCACAACTTGCTGTGTTAGAAGGGAATGAATCCCTGTACTGGCCGGCATGATCCCCAACCATACAGGACCTTCCATTGTCTTTTCCATTCCTTCATTCCTTGCTGACAATGAGGGAGAAACTGAAGCGTACCGTCTGTAATCCCAGGCTTCGCATTTAAGGGAGCATTGCCCGGGTCGTGCTTAACAGAAGTTGTACTTTCTAGAGCAACGGGGAATACAATGGCGTAGTTTTCAATAGTATTCCGACAAGGAGGCAGTTTCAACCCAAACCCTCGCTTCAAAACCTTGATCGCCAAACCTCGAACACTTCCTTCAGGCACGCCGCAGATTGCACAGCGTATTTTGGCCGCTCGGCTCGTTATGCATACCTGTTGAAAGGTGACTATCGCAGCGCCTCTGCAAATGGGCCATGAACTTGCTGGTTGTTACTTGGGAGTGATGGATCGCAAAAGACAATACAAGCTGTTGTATTCTTGGGGTTTCTATAAGCGCCTGTTTGGGATCCATTCCTCCATCCCCTACTAACAATCCTAAACCCTAAATCCTCGACGCTATAGTAGCTTCCATTGTCTTTTCTATTGCCCCGATTCCCTTCCGACCACAGGTTAGTTTAATCAGTGATCAAAGCCCGAGAGTGATGCAGACTTTTCTCGTTGAGATTCAGTACTCCTCGTATTTCTTGGCTCAAAGCACGTCAGCCAACAAGTGTTGCTTGAGATTGTAATGGAATGTCTTGGAGTAAGGCATGGTCTGCTGTGTGGGCGATTTGCCAGACTAGTTCTGAGAAGAAGTCCAAGGCTGCATTCCCCATGCCCGGTGCGAGTCTTCAGGTCATTCACCAGAAACGTCGTTTCAGACAATCAGCTGACAGCTTTCCCGCAAATCGTTGACACGCCAGATCCAATGAAGGGCATAGGCACATTGAAGGAAAGGATTGGGGACAGAAGTCAAGAAGTGGCTTCAAATAGCAAGCCGCTAGAGGAAGTGCAGCAAAAGAACAAGCAGCTCCGAGCCATACTGCAGAGGCTCGCATGGCCTCGTCTGGGCTTCTTCACTGTACACGGAATTACTCACAACCTTCCGTGGCCGCCTAAGCTAAAGTTGCTGAGTGCAGAGCAGGGTCCTGCCATTCGCACGCTCCGCTATTTGTCTGGTTTCTTCGATGGGGACGGATGTGTGACGTGCAGCGGCAGCCTGTCTGGCTGCACATTATCCGTACGCCAGTCTTATGATAAAGCTGAAGTCTTGGTGCTGCTTTGCAAAACATTCGGTGGACGGGTATACAAGGGGCAAGATGGTCTAGGATTGCGCAAGCCGCTGTTGGATTGGGTGATATGTGGGGCTCCTGCGCGGAGATGCGCAAATCTGCTAGCAATCCACAGCATTGTGAAGAAGAAGCAGCTTCTTCTTGCTGCCTCGTGGCCAGATGACGCGCGCCGGAGACCAGACTGCAAGGCCAGCTTGCACTCTCTGAAGCTTTGCGACTCTGCAGTTGCTGGCCCCTGCACGTGGGAATACGTTGCTGGCTTCTTTGATGCGGAGGGCTGCCTCCAGCTTTACAACCGTTCCACGTTACGCTTGGCAATCAAGCAGAAATTTGCCACGGTACTTCACTGCTTGCAGGAGTTTTTAGTCGAGTCCTGTGATGCCGGGGCAAATATTTATGCAGGCAATGGTTACTTCGCGCTTTACATCAGTCGGACATCTGCCTGCAAGACTGTCTTGCAAATCATGCTGGATGCGGGGCTGCTGATCAAGAAGCAAAATGCAGAACTGGCTCTGAATACGACGCACGAGAATGCTGCCAAAGTCCGCCTGACTCTAGCAGAGCTCGTTGGCAACCAGATGTTTGGTAGAAGGCTGGATGATGCGGGCATGAACAGGGCCCGCAAGATCTCAGCTAATCTGAGCAGGATCCGTGGTTTGAATCAAAGAGGGAAAAAAGCAGAGGCTGCTGCTGCTTTCCGGGATGTTCAGGAGATGAAGTTGCAGCACCACTTGCTCAATGCGCTGCATGAAAATCAGTGCCTGACGGAATACATATGCAGGATCCAATCCTTAAGCGGTGCCCAAAAAAGTGCTCCTGCCTGACACGGCACCCTTGCCTCTAAACAATGCAGTCCTTCTAGTGCGGCTCAGAGAATAGGAGAGCTGGTTCTTGCAAGGCAGCTCGTTCAGGCTGGTTTTTGTTATTTGGAAGCCATACTTTGGACGTTGTTGTTGTATGCTTATAGGTTGTCATTGTTTCTGACCGTGACGGTGATTGGCTCTAGCCCTTGAAGTCGCCGGGTTCATACGCTGAGGCTGGACTATCATCTTCAAAGCTGTCTTTAGGACCGGGTCTGTACCCCAACTGTTTTTAAAACTTGCAGTGGCTGACATCTAGCTACTCTAAAAGTCTACAAGTTTGGACGCCTGCTAGGAGCCGAAGCCGCCTGGGTTCCACCGATTAATGCCAGCTCATCGCAATGCCCACTTCCTTGAAAAGGCATTCGGTTGTATCCCGAGATGAAAAGGCAGCCTCATCAGCTTCTCATTTCTCACTCATAACCGAAGCCACCACGCGCATCACATCCTGTTTTGGACATCCGCATACAAGGAGAGTGGCTGCCTGAGCACACCAGCATGGTGGCTTTAAAAAAAAAGTCCCAAATTGGCTCAAAGTTTCAGGTTCTGAAATAGGTGCCACAGCCGGCATTTACTGCGGTCACTAATCCGGTTTGGACTTTTGCACGCACGAGATTGCACGAAATCGCATGAGATTCCGCGCAAGAGGTGCTTATGTAGCACAAAAACGCACGCAATCGCGCGAGATCTCACGAGATGACGCGATGCAAACCAGATTAGTCCAGACCACATTTATTCAGGGATTTCCTAAATAGCCGGAGCCCTAAACACTAAGCCATCAGCCCTGAACCTGTCGCCCTTTGATCCTGTGACAGCTGGTCTTAATTGCTGCGATGCCGGCTTCTTTGTCCCCCTTGTTTGTATTACAGCGCCCCTAGCCCCATCTCCCTGAAACCGAAGCCCTTAACTGCAACCTCTGATATCTTCCCAAGCCCAACATAATCAGTAGATATCGTCTTCTATCAAGATAGGATCATCAGGCGCAGTATTGTTCACACAATCATCATATATCAATGTCTTGGTCATCAGGAAAGCTATCCGCGAACCCGTAACCCTACACGCTTTTTTTCTAAAAAAAAAAAAACATTGCAGACTCTTAGCCCTAAAGCCCATTCTTTCACTACTAGGCCCTGAACTCCTACATCCTATTCTCTCCTCATAATAACCTTTATGCAAAAATTATACCATTTTGCACTATATACTCCAAAGCAGCGTTTTGTTTCTTGAGGCCCCTACATCGCTTTTCCTGCTGCTTGCAAAGGTGCCCAAGGCAGCTCGGCGGCCGGTGCCCAGGGACGAGCAGGCTGGGAAGATCGGCCTAGTACTGTAAGTTCCTAAAGAAACAGAATAGTAGGGATTTGGGGCTTGGGGTTTAGGATTGGTTGTAGCGGCCTAAATAAGTAGAATAGACGAAAAAAGATAGAGAACATCGGAACCTGTGTAGGAGGTATCAGGATTGGATGTAAGGGCTTATGTACTTAGAACAGGGATGGGGTTATACTATGCCACAATTTGAAGGGTATAAGGGGATAGTATTTAATTCCAGTTCTGCAGGCTTTTACATTTTACTTCCGGGAGTTTTGTGGGATTCAGGGTACTTTGGGTGTTAGGCAGGCTTTCGAGTTCCTAGTAGGTAGTTTAGCTGTGGAGGATTCTGGGATTCTGAGTTTAAGGTTTGCAGCTTGGACCTCTAAGGTTTCAGAGTTTGATGGCTAGGTTACGGACGTATCGGATGTCTATTCCTGGCTCGTTACTGCTGCTCTTTTTGGATGTTTGGGCAGGGGCGGGTGTCTTAAGGTCTGGTCGAAGGTTGGGTCAGCGTTGAGATCGGGTGTTCTCTTGGGCGCTTGTCAGTCGTCGTGATGCTGCGGAAGATTCCAGGTATTAGTATGGTCCCCTTACGTGCTTCTGAAGGAGGTGGTATTTCCGGTGCCCAGATGCAGGTGCTGACCGTTACGCTGGCAAGCGGTGATCATAAATGGCTACATGATAAGCTCGATCAGGGTCCTGAAGTCCTTATGGGGGCATTGGCTCAGTCTGGAAAGAACGTTTCTTAAACTCACTTTCTGATTAACAAGCCCACATGACGGGTTCGCAAAATTCGAGTCCTCCTTGGCACCCATCATGTTGGTAGGCCCTTCTATCCCTGAACACAAGAAGCCTCTTCTTCAAATCCATAACAGACCCAATACCCGAGAAAGGCACCCGATTAGGATGTCCGGGCTATCGCCGAGCAAATTCCGAGCAAAAACTCCTCACTTGGAAGGATGAGCAAGAAGCTCTGAAGAAGGCTTTGGCTGCCCTGCAGAAAGAAGGCCAGGGGTTTCCATGGATTCAGTTGGAACAAGGATGTCAGCTTGATTCGGTTCTAGGGCTTGTGGTTTCTATAGGCCTTTGCTTGTGCGTGGGCTTGGTCTCGGTCTTGCAGCGTGTAAGACTTGGAGCTTCCCTGCCCCAAGCTCATACGGAAACCTATGAAGGCCTTTTGTTACAATGACAGCAGTACTTGTAGGTCCCCTTTTGGGATTCCATGCTAGTTTTCGGGGGTGGGGGGAAGGGTCTGAACCTCGCGAAGACGATTAAAATCTATAAACAAGGCTGCTGCTGCCTGAGCAGGCCCTGCAAGTTCTTGAACAGAGTTGGATGCCTGCCCTCTTGCCAACACCGCTAGCTCAATCTGGCTTAAGCTCTTGTGGTTCTGACCTGATTGCTTCATGCTTAGAAATGAGCTTCAAGGTCGCAACATGCTGAGTCGAAATCAGCTTTCTCTAGCCAGCTCAGTATAAACAGCTACACCTTCGATACATAAGCCCCTACAAAACTCCGAAACTTCAGGATAAGCAGGCAAGCCTTTGATCACTAAGCCCCTACACCTAAAACTTCAGAATTCGAGTGCCTTGCAATCAACACCCCTGCTCATTAAGTGCAACCCTATTATAAAGCCCTTCAACCCCGAAGCCTAAATCCGCTGCCTTAGATGTTCACCCTAAGCGTAAGCATCCCTTAGCCAGGCCGTTCGGCAGCAGATATGGCAGCTCACACCGAGGCACGTGTTCGTGAGGGTATGGATTTTTTCTAAAGTTACATGGGTTTAGAAGCATTCAACGTTTCTCCGAGACTTGTAGGTTTACTGTTTGGATGTTTTCCTGCATAGCGACCCTAGGAAATCACTGCTGCCATGTCTCTCGCCATGTTAAGGGACAAGGGCAGATACCGGTTAACGAGCGATGTCTGACAACTGCCTAGGCCACCTTGTTCCACACGAAACTCAGGACACTTGGTCATGATGAGCTAGCGGAGCTCATGCTCAACCCATAGGGTAGTGCTCGCATTGATTGTCTGCTGTAATCGGTTGAAGAGGACGTGCTTCATATGCGCTCAGCGGTATTCTTCTTGAGGAACCCTAGGTACACACCAAAACAGTAGCAACACCCTGCAAATTTATGAAGGCCCGCAACCTTTCACCCTAAAATCCAAACTGCGAGCATTCGTCAGACCCGACACAGTACGGGTTTAGGATTTGGGACTCAGTCTGAGCAGGGGCAATGCACTATGTGAAGGGGCAAAAGGCAATGTCAAAGCCTGTTCGGGATCAAGCCACACAGGGCTCCGAATGATTGGCCCTCAGCTTGAGTCGGAGAGCGCCAAAGGTTAGCGCTGTTATGTTGCTTTTGCCCATGCAGGTCAGTCATCAAGAAGTCTTCGTGGGTTCATGTAAGCCGCAGTGAAGGTTTGCAAGAATTATTTTCCAAGCACTAGACACGGGAGACTGCAGCCTAACCCTGCTAAAAACACCTGAGTCCTGCAGGTCAGGCGCATCGCAAAGGTCTGGACTCCTAGAAGTTAACTTTTTGAGTCCAGTGTCTGGGGTTTGCAGGTCTGTTTCCTGATGGTGTCCCAGGTTCGTGCTCCAAAATATTAGATGCCATTTTATAAGTACGTCCAAGCCATAGTTGGCAAAATTAAGAACATGGTTTTCGTTGGCTCTCACTTGGGATCTGGGGTGGGGTTTTTGGGCGATGAGCTCTGGAGCTTAGAGCAGGACGATGTGGCAGTCTTTCAACTTTAGGGGCTCTTTGCCAGAAGCTGTCATATGGGCCTTTGAGTTGATCATGGTCTCACACATCCCAAAAATGCAAGAAAATAAGAGGGTTCAAGCCCAGTTTGGAGTAGCCTTCTACTACAGAGAGCACGGATATGCGTGTGGCTTCAATGCTTGGGGCATATAATGATAGCGAAATCGCGTGTTGCAGGCTCGAATCTGCTGGGACTCGCAGGCGTCAGTCTACAGTAGGTATGGCTTTCGTCATGTGCCTGGTGATGCAGCATGGGGTAGTCGCGTACATAAGCCTAAGCACGATAAGCAGGGTAGGGCTAGGACGAGCTGCATGGCGTCACACAAAAGATAGCTGAAGGTTGTCGCAGGGGCATCATCTAGGAGTTTTCCATAGATTTGTTTGTGATTGATCTGTGCCACACCAGTGGGCTTCTAAGCGCTCAGGAGATTGTGCACCTCTCCGCCCAGAATGCGCTGGGAGCTCAGAGAGATACTGCAGTGACAGGCAAGTTTCCCCAGATGCGGATTACATCTGGAAAGCTCTGCGCCGAGTGGCCGTGTTACATTGAGGGTGTCAGCGCCCTCATTGGGATCTCACCCAGCCATATCTTGTCTAATGACCAACTTACCCGGTCCCGCTTGCATCCAAGTAAGCTTTAGTGCCGGCAGAAGGTATTGCGCCCAGAATGTCGAGAGACTTCCAAGTCAGTTAGGTTCCAAGAGTTCCGGATTTCATCCAGAAGAATGTTGCGCTCAATTCTTGGGGCTTTGCATGATTGCATGTCCTTAATGTCCTTGGAGTCTGAGGACCTTTAGGGATAAGAGCCGTAGCCTCAGTGGTGATGTTGGAAGTTCTCCGTGATGAAGTCAGAAGCCCTAGGCTCTAAACCCTCAACCCAAATCCTCTCGATCTCCTACGCAAAAGAAGTCTTCCAATGCCTTTAAAATTTTCAGTTGATGAAACAGAGAAGTCTCAAGATATGGCACAGGGCCTCGTTATCCTCGAGGCTTCTACTTCTTGTTAGGGACGGTTATTATGATCATGGGCTTGCCCAGAATTCAAGCGCTCACAGCGAAACTCAAATCTGCCTTTTGTTGTGTATCCCCCAAGAGAGAGGAAGATCATTTCTCGTAAGGTTTTATGCCTCGCAACCATCCGGGAATACAGGGAGCTAGGATTTCCGAGACATGGTTTTTGTCTGCTTTATCCCCCCCAAAAAAACTCTCCTTGTACAGGTCTAACTGCTACCACATGGCTGGCTATGAGGATCAGGCACTTGCATGGGTTGAGCTCGAAGGTCTAGGCTTCAGGGTTAAGGAAGCAGGATATAGGGCTTCATGCTCAATTTCTAAGTCTAAGATGAAGGCTCAAATCTAGAGGCACGAAGCCTAAACCTCTCTGGGGAGGTTGGTTCGGGGTGTCTCGTCCCACTCGACCTCGACGAGATTTTGTACCTTCTTACATGCGGCAAGTCCGAACACTTGCAGTTGTTTGGAGATCCCAAGCGCCCCACAAACATTATAATGAGCTTCTTCTTCATAGGCCGAGGCCAGCACCTACATGCGGTTCAGAGTATACAGTTGAGGGTGGCGACAGTGTTCACTGTTTCGTGCACATATTAGGCAGCGGTTGGGCTCTGGTGGCGGTGCTTGAGGATTCTGGCCGTTCGGACCCCTGTTCGACACCAATGCAAGCCCCATTCATTCCAGCTATGTTGTTAAGGATACCAAGGTAGGAAATGTGGTTTACGAGTACTCGAAAGCGGCGTTCTTTGTTGAATGGGGTCTTCCTGAAGGCAAGAAGCCACCCAAAGCTTGGGTTTGCAGAGGGCCTTCTCTCACAACGCCAAGAGCTTTTGATGCGCAAGCAAGCCAACACATCCCCAAGATCAAGCTGAATTCACTGGTGTTTGAGGGCTTTGCGGTGAAGAAATATAGACATTGATATAGGGGATGATCTTGGCATTGTGATAGGGATTCACTCTTCCACTTCCTATTAAGCACCAATAAGAAAATCAAATGAGAAGGCCGGTTCTTTTCGTATGCACTACGGCCAAACTTCAGGGCTCAGCCTACATTGCCTTCATACCTGCCTCCACTCCAGCTAGCAGGGACAGAGTGAATGGGTTATTTGGCTATCGTCTAGGGCATCCATCCCTCCGTTCTCTGCAACGCAGAGGCGAGATGAGCCTGTCAACTCCATTTTATGCAGGTGCTGCCCCCTAAGACTGAGACTTTGCGCACCTGCAAACTTACAGCGTAAGAACCCCCAAGGCAAGTCTGGGATGATGAGCTCCATATATTAGACACCCGGGTCACTAACACGACTAACCAGGGATCCGGTAATCACATGGAAGCCCGCAGATATCTGCACGTGAGGAGCAGAAGGACAAGGTGGCAGCAGCTTTGCGATTGCTGGAGTGGGGTTGCCCAGTAACCCTTGGTCTACCCTTCTACTAGAAACAATACCCGCTATTAGGCTATGGGCTCTAAAGGCTATGACTGGTGCCAGTATCCCTGGGACATAAACTCTTTGAAGAATACTTTTTTTGGGGACCTAACAACTGTTAATTGTGCCTACTTTGGTATTTAGAGCCCTCGAGCAACTGGCTGCAAGTATGGATATGAAAAAGGGTCCGTCGCAGGAAGGGCTGGAAGAGATAGCGAGTAGCCAACTGTGACGAGTCTGTGAGTCCCCGTCATTTGGTTTTCGGAGGAAGCCTCAGCCATCCGTTCTCTGAATGCCAATGCCGTACGTTACTGGATGTTACCGGTGCCGAAGGGAGATGTTACAGGGTACCGTATAGGGATCATTTGGGGGTTGTTCTAAACCCTTGTTTTGGTTTTTTATAAGCCGAGTTCGCAGCAC